CACACACACACACACACACACACACACACACACACGTGGCTCCACCCGCAGCCTTGACCCCAGGGCTTCCCTGAAGCCTCACAGGACCTGGAGGCCAGGAGGCCATGTCCCTGCCCCTGAAGGAGGGGCAGAGCTCACCGGAGGTCCTGGCTGCTTCCCCTAGAATCGTCCAGGTCCTCCTCTGGGCCACCTTCCTTAGGGCTCCTCCCTGTTTCAGGGTGGGGCACCGATGAAGGGCGGCAGAGGAAGAGGAAGCCAGGGAGAGGCCAGGCAGGGTGGCGGGCGTGTCCGAGGAAGGGGACAGGGTAGCTGAGTCCTGCAGACATCATGAATTGCCCAGCCACCCCCTGGGCCGTGGCAGACCATGGCTGGGGTGCCCGACTGGCCACTGGAGACACGGGAGTCGGTCCAATCTGACTTGGAGAGCAACTTTTTGGGGTAAGTGAGCCTCAGCTGTCGCAGGGGACACACCTGCAGGTGACCCGGTCCTTGTGAAATGCAGCCTGACCGGCCGTCCGGCACTGCGCCTTGAGGCCTCATCAGAGACCCGGGTCCCTGCCAGGGATGGACGCAGCAGCCGTTCCCTGTCCACACGGTGACTCTTTGGCACCTTTGAGCCCTGGCTTCCATAGGCCAGGGCTGGCCGTCAGGCTAGTGTGAGGAGGGCAGGTGCTGACCGTCCATTAGAGGGCTCCTGTCACAAAGCCTATCATGCATCGGAATTCCCTGAGGGCTGGTGTGGCCCCAGGGCAGTGGGCTCCCAGGAGGACCCCTCCTGATCTGGGGCTGAGAATGGATGACCTTATGGGGCAAAGGGGCTTTGCAGATGTGGTTGGGTTAGGGACTTTGAGGTGGGCCTGTCCTCATCCCAGGGTCCCTGAGGGTCCAGGGAATGTGGGGAGGAAGGCAGGAGGGGGATGCTGCTGGCCTGGAGCTGGAGGAGGGCCTGTCCCCAGGATGCAGGGGCTTCCCTAGCTGGCCGCAGGGGGTGGCTGCGCCCCAGGCCATCCACAAGGAAGGCCCGCTGTGGCCTGTGAGATGGAAAGGAACTCAGCACATCCACGTGGTTTAGGTCACTCATGGTTCAGCAGCCGAGGTCAGTGCGTGGCCTGTTAAACGTGGGCTTCTAGGCCCACCCCTGGGGACTGGAGCCGCCCGCTGGAGGGCTGCGTTTCCACCCAGCTCACTGACCTGCTGCTGGCCCAAGGGCCTCTGGGAACCCCTGCAGGGGAGGGGAGGCAGGGAGGGGAGGCAGGGGGAGCCTCTCCCCGGACAGCTGTCCCCTAAGACGGGGATGGGATGCCAGGTCCTGCAGGCCGCCAGTCCCTCCAGTGGCTGAGGTCTTACGGGGGCCTCTCCCCAGGGTCACCTCCAGCCCCAGGTCCACAGAATGGGCGTGACGTGTCCGTGGCCCCAGGACAAGCAGGGGAGCTGGGAACTGTGTTGGGGCTGTGAGCACAAGACAGTGAAGCTGCACGTGTCCCGGGAGGAGGGGACAGCAACCTGAGTTCTGAGGACCCCGTGGCCGGGGCCTGGCCGGGGCCTGGGCAGGACCTGTGAGTGCAGGGAAGGCTCAGTTTGTCCCTGGGGACCCGGCAGCTCTGCCACCGTCGAGGCCCAGGGTAGCCTCCATCCCAGTGCTGCCTGGGGGTCATGATGCTGGAGGAGACGGAGTCCCAGGAAGAGCTGATAATGACGTCCCGGGAGACCCAAGGCTCCCTGGGAGCCAGGCGTGGCAGGTGGCGGAGCTGGGGGTCACTCTGGGCAACCAGGCCCCAAGGCCACCCTCCTGCCCATCCGGCTGCCTGTGGACAGTGGTGGAAGGGTCTTGGGTTTGGCGCTTCCTTCCTGTCCCTGTGGGCTGGTCTCCCTCCTTCCCGGCTGGGGCTCCTGGCAGTGGATTGATATATAACGTGGGCCCACCCCTCCCAGTCCATTCCAGGAGAGGCCTCTTTGAAGGCAAAATAGATTCCAGAATGATCGTTCACTAAGAGACATTCATCAGTGAGATGTCCTCCATAAAACTGAAATATCATAAAATCGTACACACGTGGGCTGGAGCCGGGCAGGAACCATATTTCAGAGGCGAACACGGGCCGTGCAGAATACCAGAGGCTGTGTTTGATAAATTAGGCCCCGGCTCACGCTGCCACTTGCTTGTTGGAGAGGGAAATGGCCATTCCATCAACACCCTGCTCCCAAAGGGCAGGGACAGCGCCTGTCCCAGCCTCAGGAGGGCCCTGCCCAGGGAGCCACCCGGGAACGGGAGGGCAGCAGCAGACGGCGCCCAGGAGCTGGAGGTCCTGAGCCCAGGGCCTGCACACAGCCGCGGCTCTTCTGGCCTCGGCCCTGCGTCCGTCTTCCCTTAGGATCCCTGGCTGGGCAGAGCCAGGATCTGCCCACTTAGGATCTGGGACAGCTGTGGCTGCACAGGTCCCCGGTCACCAGGGGAGACAGGCTGGTGAGCAGGGCTGCAGGTTAGGCCCCCGACCCATCCTGGTCCCCCCCAGACCTCACAACAAGTGCCCTGCGAGCTGCGCCTCCCGCAGCCCTGCCCAGGGGCAGCACCTGTCTGAAGCCTCTCTTGTGCCAGGAGGCAGCTCTGGGGACCAAGGCCAGGCCAGGCGTGCAGCCCCCGGCTGTTTCCTTGTTCCTGACGCAGAGAAGGCTGTGAGGTCACCTTGTGTGACCCCCTCTGGGAGCCTCCAGCGTTCTGTCCTGGGCCTTTCCAGAACTTTCTCAGCAAAGCCATTTTAGAGGTTGGAGAACCAAGGCTCCACCCCAGGTGGTCACAGTGGGCGAGGGCACCTGCCCGTGAGGAGGACTGTGAGGAGCTGGGTGCCAGCCTTGGGGCCCAGGACCCTGCACAGGCCCACCCAGGCCACAGGCCAGGAGCTGGCCTCACCTCCGCTTCCCCACGTGCTTTACGGACGTCGATTAAGTATGGATTGATAAACGCCCGTATTAGGGTCTGGAGGGTGACTGTGGGCGCAGCAGGATGACAGCCCCTGCCAAGCGCTGGCCCGGGCCCCACGCGCTCTGGCCCGCAGGGCTGGGTTTTCTGCACAGGAAACAGAAACAGGCAGAAGCAGGATCGGGCTGGGACAGGAAGAAATTGGATTTTGAGTTTGGGAAGATAGGGGCCCTGCAGAGTGGAGCGGGGTATTCTCCAGCTCCGGACCAGCTGGTGCGTCTCTGGAATGTTCTCCTACCCTCTGAGCAGCCTCAGCTGGTTGTGCTGCCTCTGCGATTGCTCCTGCCTCCCTGGTCTCCTCTGCTGACCTCGTCTGGAGCTGTGTCCATCTACTTTCTCCCCTGCAGGTCCTGAGCCAGCTCGCACACGGGCAGGGCCCTCTGTGGCCTGTCTGCCCCTCTGGGCCCTGGGCCCCTCCATCCTCCACCCGTCCTCTGCACATGGCCTCCCCACCCCAGAGCCTAGGAGAGATTCGAGGCCAGCTGGGTCGGCATGGGAGTGTCCCCGGCTCTCCAGGTGTGGGCAGGTGGCAGAATGACCTCATCTCAGGACCATGAGGGCTGAGACACAGGGAGAGCCTGGGAGGCAGGTCAGAAAAAGGACCAACAGCAGTGCCGCAGTCTGGCTGGGCACAAATCGGGAGCCACTCAAGCAGGAACAAACTTTATTTCCAAACTCCACCAGCACACTTCCCGGGAACTGTCCAGAACGCCACCCACACGGCTCCTCTAGCCACACACCACACACCCACCGGAACTCCCACCCCCCAGGCTGCGTGCACACTCACTCTCAGAACCCCCGAGAACTCAACGGGGAACGCCAAAGTGGCAGGCCCAACGCAGCAAGAGCCATCCTGTTACGGGACAGTAAAGGTCTAACATACAATTGAGTCAATCCAGCATCATCCTAATGGCGCACCTCTCAACCATGACTTCTGGCAAAGTGAAGGGGCCACTCCGACTCGGCGGTGGCTCTCAACACCGCAGGGTCCACACCCCACCTGCTTTGGTGGCCGAGTGCCCTGGTTATATGGCCTGGATCACCATGGGCGTGGGTGTGAGTGTTCTGAAGGGCACGTGCACGGACAAGAGGCCAAAGTGGTCAATCCTCACCCTTTCCAGCTTCTAGGTAAGTTGGGCCAGGGCTCAACGCAGTGGGCAGAGGGCGCTGCGTCTGCTAGCTCTGGGGACGCTGGAGAAGGCTTGGGAGGCCGGACGGCACGGTGACAGGCGTCTGTGCTGATGTTCCCCAGGAGCGTCGTGGGCCTGGGCTGTGTCCAGTCCTGGAGCATGCCCTCCCCACTGCCGTGGAGTCCCCCTCCTGCCCATGCCCATGACAAGGTGAGT